CGTATACGTGTTCAAAATAGCACTTGAAATCGAAGCATCATTGTTTTTTTCCATAAAATGGACCGATCAAATCCAGTACATAACCATCGAGAAAGACTAAACTCATCATTTTGACGCGATGTCGTGATTTATGTCCGGAATAGCACGCGCGTTGTAGTTCGTGGTCATTCGACTTATGACAATAGACGTAAGTATCATCCCAAATAACTGTCAGATGATCGTCGAAAGAGACTTTTGAATAGGCCGTGTGATGACTCAATGCGCCGGCTCGAGTTAAATGACTAAGTCCGAGATAAGACGAAACAACTGTGTCATTGAGGTTACGCATGACGACATGAAATGTGTCCTCGAGACGACGCCGAATACTATCCTCCGATGTGTCAATTTTGAATAAACCAACCTGTCGAAACGATAAACCAGTTTTCAACTTAACCCAAAATAAACATATAGCTTCAAATAGAGTCCGATGTTTTGATGAAAAGAATGAAAATTGGAGAAGAAGAAGTAAAAAATTTCAATGCGTGGGCCGTTTGGGTGCCACGCCCCCCTGTTGGAAAGCTTCCAAATCATTTTGTAGAGCTAGCTCTTGGACAATTTCTGACAAAACTTGACGGATGGTCACATCTTTTGTGATCGGCACGCCCCACTACACTGATACCCATGAAAGCTGGCTGCACTTTTGTTGGTTGTAACATGTCACACAGTGAGAATTTTTTCCTCCTTTGGAAAATGTTTTTCTTTCCATATAGGTTTGTGTTTCGTCGTTCGCTTTTTCGAGTGATGAAAATTCGATGTCCTTAGCTCTTTTCGTTAAAAAGTTATAAGCATTTCTTTCGATGTATCTTCTTTTATAAACACATAATAACAATCACTTTGAAGTCGAAGTTTCCATCATTTTCAATCCTTAAGCAAAGAAACATTATAAGAAAAAGACATTTCTGATTCTTGCCAGATTTGGACATGTGAATTCAGAAGTTGAGATCATTACTATGCTTGATGTTAATGGTGTTTTGTAGATGAAATTTGGAAATGGCAGTGTGAAGAAACAAATTCAAATTATTTCTCCTAACACCGTTAAAATTAAAGGAAAAGAGGGAGAAAAAACAATTCCTTTCTTTCTCTCTCTTTGAATGTAAACCTGTAGCACATCACTTAACGGGGGAAGCCCCACTCCTTCTAGAACTGCATAGTATAATTCGCTGATGCGTGACACACACACCAATTACTGTTAAATAAAAAATGAAAAAACAAAAAAAAGCAAACGTTTACACAACCATTTTTTTCGTACATTAAGCTAAATGGAGTGGCGTCCATCGCCATCAGCTGTGCGTCGTGTTCGACGAGAACATTACCGAAACTTCGCCAACCATACAACGTTCTTTTGCGACGGTTGTCTTCTCCGCAACTTTTCTGGCCCAGTATTCGCGTGCCTCAGTTGTACTAACTACGCACTCCGTCAGAAATGTTTTCCTGCTCGAAACAAACTTCATGATGTCCGTCATTCATTCCAGCTATCAATAAAGCCTGATGAACGCTTAAAAGAGCACAACGATATTGTCTGTGGCGGCTGTAAAGCAAAGGATTTCGTCGGACCACGTTACAATTGTCAGCAATGTTATGATAATCCATTTGACTTGTGCGGCAACTGCATTTCACAAGCTTCGCTACTACACTCGCCTAACCTATTAGTAAATCCGTTCTTTTTTCAATGTTTTGAAAAATAAATATTTTAACCGTTCTCTTTTCAGTGTTTTTAGAAATATATAAAAAACCGTTCTCTTTTCAAT